GCAAAGGCAGCTCATCCCCTGCACTGCTGCATCTGTTTGTGGGATTATGCTCTTTCACACGCAGTGGGCATGCAGGTGGTAGAGCCTTTTTTCTCTTGAAAACAACAGCTGCCTTGCAACAGTCAAGAAGAAAAATTCAGCTGGGGGACTTGGTCTTGACATTTAGTATTCTTCTTTAGAATAATGATGTACCCAATAATGACACTGTATACATCTCCCTGAGCTCCCCCTTCACCTGAGAAGTGTTTTCTTAGCATTCATGGAAAGTATTAACTTGGTTTTCAGTTTTATCTCATCTAGGTTTTTTTTTCTGGAAAAAACGTGGAAAATGAAATGGCACGAAGTTTAGGAGCTGCAGCACTGAAATCCTTTTGTTTACAAGTGCCCTATTTAAGTTAATTAACATGTTCAAATATAGCTTTCTGCTTCTTGGAGTATCACTAAAATCAGGGATTCACGTTTAGACTGCCCTGGGTGCAGTTACCTCACTCAAGCTAAATTTGTTTGTCTGGCTTTTTCTAGTATTGGATTTCATGGTCTGAACTTACACTGTCTCTGGCACTGAAATGAGTACCTAACTTAACAAGGGAGTTCCCCTAGGTTTGAAGTATGGACACATTTAGCGAGCATGACTCAACCCATGGAAGAGGTGTAGAGCCTTCCAGGGGTATTTATATCAAACTTCGACTAAATGAGGAATTTAGGGAGCCTGTGTTCCTTTAACTGTGTTCCTTAACTTAGGGTGGCTGTGTTCCCTGTTAGATGTCTGGGGTGGACAGCGCAAGACGATGTTGCGTGTTTCAACATAGATTTCACTGAACTTCTATACGTCTAAAATTTTATTAATAAATGCATAAAATTTTGCATTACAATTACAAAAATATTAAAATATGCCTTCTTTGTTTACTTCTAGCTACCTCAGGGAAACCTCATGAACACAGTAAGTATCAAGGTGATAAAGAACATTGTTATGTTGTCAAAGCTTTAGCAGCTTGAGATGGTATTCATCAGCTCAAAGTCACACAACATTCTGACTTATAAAACTAGTTTTCAATTACTTGCTCTGTAATGCAGGACCAGCGGTGTTTCACAGGTCCGAGTTTGCAGGGAAACCATTTTCCAGTTCAGACCAAGATAAGACCTACCTGTGCCTTCTGCATCTAAGGCAGCTTTGTACTGGGAAAAAAATCAAGGGTCTGTGCAATTCTCTGGCTAGGCCTATGGTCCAAGCTTTATAGAGATTTATCTCTTGATCTGATGCAACCTCACCTGCTGCACAAGTTAATCATCTGTGCTATAAATCAGAATTGCATATATTTTTAACATTTCTCTGAAATTCCATAGCTTTCTTTTTTCTGTCTTATAATGTTGGGGTTTGGATATCACACTGTTTTTAAATAGCACAAAATTGCATGCAGATTACATTATAATGCAATATAATATCCATTATTATTGCTACTTCACAATATATCTGAGATCCCTCTACTAGCTACTGTGAAGAAAAGTAACTCCATACCAGTCAAATCCAGGGCACAGAAAAACATGGAAAACTACTTTTTAATTTATGTAGGATACTGAACACTTGGTTGTCATTTTATATGAGACAACCCCACTTCTGCTGTAATAAAGTACTGCCATGATTTCTATACTATACATCAAGGAAAAATTTTTCTGTGTAGAAGATCAGCTATAGCAATCAACCTTAATAGTAGAACCATTTCAGAATTTTAGAAATTCTATATTTTTAAAATATCCTCAGAAAATAATTTTGTGATTTCTTAAACACCATTATCTTTTCATTATTTTAATTTTTTAGGGAAAAAAAATTAATGAGTAAATACTTTTTCTTGAGAAATATATCTATCAAAAAATTCTTCTCGAGTCTCGTGTGAATGTGTAATGAAGTCATCTTTTTAAATTATAATGAGAATCTTTTATGTTTAAAATCTTCTAAAAATTAAAAACCCTTCTAATTTAGGATTTCTCATTTGCAGAGCATGAACATGTTAAACATGAAAAAGCAATCTCTCAGATTAAGCCAGGTAGGTCTGGTAATTTAGTTTCCAGTTACTCCCAGCTCCACTTCATAAGGATATGCATAATCTGAAAAACTTGGAGACTTCCTTGATCTAGGCACAGATTTTTTTGCAGGGACTGGAAAGCAAGTGTCAACACACTGTTGACTTTTGTTAGCAGTGCTGCTGCTTGAACTTCACATTGAAATGAAGCGCTCACAAACAAGTGATTGGATACACCATTTAAACAAACCCTTAAATTTTCAGTGATAAGCAGGCAGGCTTTTTTTCACTACTTTCTTTTCCTGAATTTTTTTTTTTTTTGAAAGAAAGCAATTTCTGCTGTGCATTTAGCATTTTTCTCATTCACTTTTATAATAAAATATTCTACTTTGTATTTCCATTGACCTCTTGAGATTTCCTGCAATCCTTGAGTAGCTGATTTAGTAAAGATGTATTGGTTCTCAGTTCATCCTTCAAAGACACATAGGTCAAGCTTTAAATTTAGCTTGTTGATCACTTTTTGTGTATTAAAAGCTACCAGAATGCTTCAACCAGCGTATAGGTGTAGGCGGACTCAGCCAAGGCAGGAATGTCCTAGTGAGGAAGACACACTTGGTGCTACAGTGGCAGCCAAAAAGTGTGTTGCCTGGACAGGTGTCATGACCTTTTCTGCTCAATGAAATTAGTACTACTTCACAATCAGCCCAATCTCATCCATATAGCAGCAGAAAAAATAAATTTACTTGGAGAGGCAGTCTCAAACATGAGAGCATCATGTCACAAACCAGTGTGTTGGACTGATTAGGAGCTTATTCTAGTATAGTACAGTATATTCTAGACTCAAACCCTAGGAATTTAAATGCTTGAAGGAAAAAAAACATTGCTAAATTTCTTTAACATAAAAGACCTGTTCTCAGGTGATTAATGGTTGCTTTGGAGAACAGTGGCTGTTTTGAGTTTCAGTTGATGACTGGAAGCATTAATCTGCAAGCACTGGCGGTGATAGTGCTTCTGCCCGCTGTATGCCAATGAGTGCTCTTGAGTTAGCAACTTGAATTGTAAAAGCTTTATTCTATACAAAGCAGTGGCCTCCTTTTTCACCTTGATTCAGAGCAGCTTCAAACTATTATTCCTATGTCACCTGTCATCAGACTTAGAAGTATCACATGGTACTAGAAAATTTGAAAAATATATTGACCCTGTAGGGAAATGTTTAAATTAAAGAGTGTTTTGTGTATGACAGTGAAAGCAAGGAAAGAAAGAAAATTCATTCCTGAGGTAGTTCTGCTGAAACTGCCTGCAATACACAAAGAAAAGTTTACAGATTTATGTTTTTCTATTTACATTAGATATATCAGGAAAAAATAATATTAAAGGTTGTAGTGCTTCAAAACTGGAGCTCTGCAAAGGAAATAAATTCACTCCAATGAAAGATTTCAGAATTTTAAACTTTTGGTTTACTCAGAATCAGAACAAAATCAGATTTTAATTTAGATATTCACAAAATTTTTTTTGGACTTTTTGCAGCTTTATGAGGTCATCAAAATAGTTTGGTGGGTTTTTTTTTTAGACTCATGATATGGTAAACAAAACGTGCATGAGAAGTTAGAAATATCACATGTTCTTAGCGAAATAATATGCATTATCCTCATGGTGTTTTTTTCACTGCTTTTCTTCATACTGAATCTGGTGAAAAGAATGATTTTGTGAAGCTTCCTAATGTCTTGAAGTGTATTCCCCTATAGAAACTGTTCTGCTTAAGTCTGGATAATCTAATCCCTCAGTTTTCCTTTTGGCTACAACCAATGGCTAGAAACTCAGAGAAGAAACAGTCCAGTCATCACCTGGAAATCTGCCAGTGAATGTGTCAGGATGTTCTCTAATAGAATCAATAGATCAATACTTGCTGTGTGATTAGATTGCAGAATAGGTAGGTGAGTGAATACAACAGAATTACTGTATTTATTCCCAGATGAATACAAATTCACAGGCCTGTCCAAGACACTCTGTTTTCAACAATAAATTGATTTTGAGAAGAAAAACCTCCCCTAATTTTAAATGGATCAGATGTGCCATCCAGTCAAAGACTTATTTCCTTACTTATTTTCTCACAGACTTATTATCTTAGATTTACAGAGCAAACATTGCTGTAAATTCTCTACAGAATTAGAAAAAATACCTTATTTGGTGTTCAAAAGGGTTGGGGTAATATCCAAAGAAAAAGAAGCCTTTTGATTTTTGCAGGCCTTTAATCCAATACATGGTACAGGTCCTATGTTTAAAGTCAGCATGATGGGTTTATTTCTGTATTGGTACATCAAAAGCTTAATATCCTGATCTAAACTAGTGAAATGTACTGTTATATGGTAAACCTTTTCTAACAGCAGAAAAAAGACACTTTCTCTCAGTGAGCTGTATCAAGCTGCTGGTTGTATACTAAAAACATTTCTAGCTTCACAGACATCTCTAATATGGAGATGAGATTTTTTAATTCACTGCTTTCATAAGAAGCTGACAATAACAATAGCTGAATAAAAGGGAGAATAAAGCCCTAAACTTTAAACAAGAGAAATGGAATCACCACCTACCAGATGACAACTGGAAAGCATAGCAATGCAGGGCTATATTTAATTTCCAAATAGGAGAAAAAATTGGTAACCATGGAGCTATATCCCTGCCTGTATTTGACCCCATCAGTACTGATTTCTTCCAGAAACAGAAGAAAAAAAAAAAAAAAAAAAAAAAAAAAAAAAAAAAAAAAAAAAAAAAAAAAAAAAAAAAAAAAAAAAAAAAAAAAAAAAAAAAAAAAAAAAAAAAAAAAAAAAAAAAAAAAAAAAA